CGACTGTTTGAGGAGCGTTACCTGGTAGACTTGGTTCCCATCCCGTTGCGTGGGAACAAGGTGATTATTGGTATGGATTGGTTGTGCCCTAATGGGGCAGTGATAGATTGCGCGCAGCAGCTAGTGCGAGTCAGGACCCCAAGCGGGGGAGAGTTAGTGATTCATGGCGAACGGCCGCAGTGTGGACCCACTGTATGTTCAGCAGCGAGGGCTAGGCGCTACCTTCAGCAGGGATGCGCGGGATATGTCGCGTATGTGATGGATACCCGGGAGGCGGGTAAGGCGACCATGAGCGAGGTCCCGGTGGTTCGAGATTTTGCAGATGTTTTCCCGGAGGAACTACCTGGGATACCTCCGGAGCGACAGGTGGAGTTCAGGATTGACCTCATTCCCGGTGCGGCTCCGATAGCCAAAGCACCGTATCGGTTGGCTCCTCCCGAGATGCAGGAGTTGTCTACGCAGCTGCAGGAGCTGCTAGACAAGGGATTTATTCGTCCGAGCAGTTCACCCTGGGGAGCCCCGATTCTGTTTGTAAGGAAGAAGGACGGGTCGCATCGGATGTGTATAGATTATCGGGAGCTGAACAAGGTAACGGTGAAGAACCGATACCCGCTTCCGAGGATTGATGACCTATTTGACCAGCTTCAGGGAGCATCTTGGTTCTCCAAGATTGACTTGCGTTCGGGCTATCATCAGATGAGGGTCAGGGGGAGGATATGCAGAAGACCGCGTTTCGGACGCGCTATGGTCATTACGAGTTCGTGGTGATGCCGTTTGGGCTCACCAATGCTCCTGCCGCGTTCATGGACCTCATGAACCGCGTGTGTAGACCGATGCTGGATCGGTCTGTGATAGTCTTTATCGATGATATCTTGGTCTATTCCAAGACTCGGGAGGAACACGAGGAGCATCTGAGGGAGGTATTGGAGACCCTGAGGAGGGAGAGCTTGTATGCCAAGTTCTCCAAGTGTGAGTTTTGGTTGCGCGAGGTGCAATTCCTTGGACACCTCGTCAACCAGAACGGGATTCTGGTTGATCCGGCCAAGGTCGAGGCCGTGATGAGATGGGAGGTCCCGAAGTCTCCATCTGAGATTCGGAGCTTCCTGGGATTGGCAGGCTACTATCGGAGATTTATCCAAGATTTCTCCAAGATAGCCGTACCCCTGACACGACTGACGAAGAAAGCCGTGGTCTTTCGGTGGGGACCCGAGCAGCAGGCTGCGTTTGAGATGCTGAGACAGAAATTGTGTGAGGCGCCGATCCTAGCCCTGCCTGAGGGCGTAGAGGATTTTGTGGTTTACTGCGATGCGTCCATTTCGGGGTTGGGCGCAGTTCTGATGCAGAGGGGGCATGTCATTGCCTACGCTTCGCGGCAGCTCAAGCCTCACGAGGCGAACTACCCGACGCACGATTTGGAGTTGGGGGCGGTGGTCTTTGCCCTCAAGATTTGGCGACATTACCTCTACGGGGTTCGGTGTACCATCTACACGGACCACAAGAGTTTGAGGTACCTCATGGACCAGCCGAATCTGAATATGAGGCAGCGGCGGTGGTTGGACGTGGTGAAGGATTATGATTGCGAGATCCTTTACCACCCGGGGAAGGCCAATGTGGTGGCCGATGCGCTTAGCCGCAAGACGGTGCCGATCAGGGACGTTTGCTTGAGGATGACCGTGGTGACTCCCCTATTGGAGCAGATTCGGGAGGCTCAACAGGAGGCTATCAAGGAGGAGCATCGGAAGAGCGAGCGTGTGGTGGGTCAGGTTTCCTCCTTTGATTATGATGGCAGAGGACTTTTGACACTACACCGTAGGGTGTGGGTGCCGTATCACGGTGGCGTGCGTCAGATTTTGATGGAGGAGGCGCACAAGTCCCGATTTTCTATTCATCAAGGGCGACGAAGATGTATAGGGATCTTCGTCCGGATTACTGGTGGCCTTGCATGAAGCGGGATGTGGCATGGTACGTCGAGCGGTGTTTGACCTGCAGGAAGGTCAAGGCCGAACATCAGAGACCGCATGGCAAGATGCAGCCGTTGGACATCCCACTGTGGAAATGGGAAGATATCACGATGGATTTTATCACAAAGCTTCCCAGGACCGCACGTGGAGTGGATTCGATTTGGGTCATCGTGGATAGATTGACCAAGAGTGCTCACTTTATTCCAATCCAGGAGAGCATATCGGCCGAAAAATTGGCCGACATCTATATCAGGGAGATTGTGGCACGGCATGGAGTGCCAGTATCGGTAATCTCGGACAGGGATGTGCGTTTTACTTCCAGATTTTGGAAGAAATTCCATGACGAGTTGGGCACTCGTCTGCATTTCAGCACCGCCTTTCACCCGCAGACAGATGGTCAGAGTGAGCGGACCATCCAGACTTTGGAGGACATGTTGCGGGCGTGTGTGTTGGATTTCGGTGGTAGCTGGGATACCTATCTTCCCTTGGCTGAGTTCTCCTACAACAACAGCTATCACGCGAGTATTGACCGACCACCGTTCGAGATGTTGTATGGGCGGAAGTGCAGAACCCCGATATGTTGGGGTGAAGTTGGCCAGAGAGTCATGGGAAGCACCGAGGTGGTGCTAGAGACGACCGAGAGGATCCAGCAGGTTCGGAGCAGACTTCAGACTGCACAGAGTCGGCAGAAAAGCTACGCCGATAGGCGTCGATCCGACTTGGAGTTCCAAGTCGGGGATATGGTTCTCCTGAAAGTGTCGCCTTGGAAAGGTGTCATTCGATTCAGGAAGCGGGGCAAGTTGGGCCCAAGATTCATCGGGCCGTTCAGGGTTGCAGCCCGGGTGGGCAAGGTGGCGTATAGGCTGGACCTGCCAGCCGAGCTCAGTCAGATCCACAGCACCTTTCATGTTTCGCAGCTGCGGAAGTGCCTGGTGGACGATTCAGCAGTAGTACCATTGGAGGATATTCAGGTTGATGACAGCTTGAATTACATTGAGCGCCCAGTCGCAATACTTGACAGAAAGACAAAGGCTTTGAGAAACAAGAGGGTAGAACTAGTAAAGGTGCAATGGCAGCACCGCAAGGGTTCGGAATGGACTTGGGAACCGATGGACGAGATGATGGAGCATTACCCCGAGCTGTTTCAGGACCGGGCAGCAGACTTCGAGGACAAAGTCTAAAATAAGTGGGGGAGATTTGTAGCATCTGGTTTCCGGTATGTGAATTTTATTTGAGCATTCCCCTATTTTAGCCTTGGACTCGGCGAGTCATAAGGTCCGACTCGCCGAGTAGGGACGAGACTCAGGACACGTTTAAGTGGGCGACTCGGCGAGTCCATATCCTGGACTCGGCGAGTCACCGCTGCTGGATGAAACCCTAAGTTTCAAGGGTTTGCACCCTATTTAAACCCTCATTCCGCCCCAACTCATCCCCATTCACCCCCCAGAACTCCCCAACATCGTTTTCCCTTAATTCCTTGAGAGATTGAAGTGCTCTTGGTGTTTTCTTGAAGGTTTTGAGGAGAAAGAGGTGTAGATCAAGAAGAGGAGAAGGAGATCAGGCATCTTTGTGTCATTTCAACATATTCCTTGAGGTATAGCTCGTTTCCCCTCTGTTTTCAAGCTTGTAATCCCTTTTTGCTTCATTGGAGTCCTTCTTGGGCTCTTCCCCAAGCTTGTTTGTGCTTTGTAGGTGATAATAAGTTGTTAGCCTTTAGATCTAGGCATGATTTAGTCCCTGGAGCTTGGATCTATTGCCTTTATGGGGTCATATTGCATGAAAGCCCTAGATCTACCTCTTTTGGTGCACTTTGAGCCTTAAAATCCATATTGGTGAATATCTACACGTAAAGTTGGAAACTTTACGTGTGGATTGTGTCCTAGAAGCCCAGATCTGTGAATGGCATGGACTGGAATCGAGCAAATCGGTGTATTTGATGGATGCATGGCTGTGACTCGACGAGTCTGGTCGCGAGTCACTAAACTGGTCCCTTTAAGATGTATCGAGTTGAGCCGTGAGTCACAGGGGGTGACTCGGTGAGTTGGAAGCTGAACTCACTCATGATAGGACTCGGCGAGTCAATGCCCTGACTCGGCGAGTCCAAGGCAATCTTCATAGATCAAGAACAAACTCGGCGAGTTGTTCATACAACTCGGCGAGTCTTAGCATATGTGTTCTTCGGATGAAGATGAACTCGACGAGTTGTTCATACAACTCGGCGAGTAGGATGAAGGAGTTGAATGACAGTTTAGAAGATGAACTCGTCGAGTCATTGCCCAACTCGACGAGTAGAATCAGGGACCCAGGACAATAGTTTGCTAGGGACTCGGCGAGTTGGGTCAACTAAAAGTTGACTTCGATTTGACTTAGGGCTAGACCAGGGGTAAAATGGTCTTTTTACCCAAAGGACAGTTAGCAGTGTATGATTAAGTATATTGTGGGAATTACAGCCGGGGAGTTTCCAGAGCAGCAGCAGCAGTAGTAGGTGATCAATTCCCACACAGACCAGCAGCTATTTCGAGGTAAGTTTCCTTCCAGTAGTAACGGGTCTAAGGCACCAAGGCCGGCCCGTATAGATGAGACGTTAGTATTATAGTGTGGGCCAAGCCCGTATCTATTAGTTGAGTTGATTGTGTTATATACCAGCATGATAGAACTGTTTACACTTGTTGTCTGTGCGATACTTGTATGATATGAGTTGGCGGTTGAGTGTGGGCGGGGCCCGTATCTCTCCGAGAATGGAGTGTGGGCTAGGCCCGTATCTCCCAGGTAGCGAAGTGTGGGCGGGGCCCGTATCTTCACGAGTGTGGGCGAGGCCCGTATCTCCTAATTGCATGTTATATGTTAAATGCTTGTATGGTATGGGGTATTAGGGGGGAGCTCACTAAGCTTTGTGCTTACGGTTTCAGTTTTGGTTTCAGGTACCTCCTCAGCTAGGGGAAAGGAGCCGGCGCGGTAGCAGCATGTCACACACACACTCTTCGGTTTCCGCATTTACGAGATTCACTGGGATTGTACTCTGATATTTGATGGGATGTATGGTTTGACTTTTAAAACATGGTTTGCGATGTGTTATGGTGTGATCAAACAATGTTTTTATTTATTAATGTTTTCTAAAGTAATATTTTAAAATGAAATTTTTGGACATGAAAATTGGGTCGTTACAATATTGAGGTGTCTTGGAATCTAACTAAAACTATCTTTCTTTTCAAATGTCTACTCCTGGAAACACTTCTGCTTCATCATCCTCCAGCCACAACTTCTCTCTACTAAACATCTGTTCCAAAGTCATTATGGATGGCTCCAACTATAACGATTGGATGCGTAACATCAAGATGGCGCTTAGATTTGAGGACAAAGAGTATGTCCTTGAAAAGGAGCTCAAAGAACTTGATGAGTCAAAAGCCACTCCCGAAGAGTATGCTGCCTACAAGAAACACTATGATGATGCTACCAAAGTGGCATGCATCATGTTTGCAACCATGTCCCCAGAATTGCAGAGGTACTATGAGGACTACTGGCTTGCAACCATGGAAAAGTAGCATAAGCGAGCTCGTCAAGAAAAGTTTGAGGTAGTCAAGTCACTCATGGCTTGCAAGATGAAGGAGGGGGAATCGGTTGTATCTCATGTGCAAAGAATGCAACGCTACATAGAGCGTTTGGTCAAGCTCAACATTCACTTCGATGAGGAATTGGCCATTGACATGGTCTTGAACTCGTTGCCTGATTGTTATGGTCAGTTTATCTTAACTTACCATTTGAACAACACTGAGCAGACTTTGGCCCAATTGCACAACTTGTTGCAGACAGCTGAGGCAGGGATGAAGGGTAAAAGTATACCCTCCACACCTGCAAGTGCCCCTGTCTTGGCCATTGGACAGGGTAAGGGGAAGAAGAGGAAAGGTCCTCCCAAGCAAAACTGGAAGAGCAAGGCTCAAGTGTGTCATCTAGTAATGGCCCGAAGGCTAAGCCCAATGGTTCCACTCCCCATGTTTCTGATCCAAAAGAGGCCACTTGCTTTTACTGCAATCAAAAGGGGCATTGGAAGAGATCTTGCCCACAATATCTGCAAGATATCAAGGATGGCAAAGTGAAGCCATCCTCGGCAGGTATTTACACTATTTCTGCTAATAACTCATTATCTTCTCGTTCATGGGTCCTTGATACAGGATGTGGTTTTCATATCTGTTCTGATTTGCAGGGGCTAAAGGAAAGTGAGGAGATAGAGCATGGGAGGATAAACTTGATCATGGGGAACAGAAAGTCTTCACCAGTGACCAAGATCGGAGTTTATCAATTATTGCTTAGTAATGATGTTAGATTAGACTTAATAAATTGTTGCTATTCGTCTGAGATGACGAGAAACATTATTTCATTTCATGCATTGTTCAGACAAGGTTTTAAATATTCTTTTAATGATTTGAATGGTTCAATTTCTGTTTATAAGAATGGTGTTTTTGTGTTTGAAGCTTTACCTTGTGATGGTGTGTATGAAACAGTGACTTGTGTTGATAGCTTAGGAAATAGTGTACTTAATATTGACTTGTCTAATAGTGTAGACAAGGCATGCTTGTGGCATTGTCGTCTTGGACACATTAACAAGAAACGCATAGCCCAACTCCAAAAGGATGGAGTGTTGGAATCATTTGACCTAAAATCAGATGATATGTGTGAATCTTGTCTTTTGGGAAAGATGACAAAATCACCATTCATAGGGTCTTGTGAAAGAGGTGAAGGTCTGTTGGATCTCATACACACAGATGTGTGTGGGCCCTTCAGATCAACCACAAGGGATGCTAATCGATTCTATGTGACTTTCACTGACGATTATAGTAGATATGGTTACATCTACTTGATCAAACATAAGTCAGAAACCTTTGAAAAGTTCAAAGAGTTTAAGAAATGAAGTCGAAAATCAATTGGGCAGAAAGATCAAGATACTTAGATCCGATAGAGGCGGGGAGTATCTTAGTACCGAGTTCAACGACTATCTGAAAGAATGTGGGATAGTCTCACAATTGACTCCTCCTAGGACACCACAGTTAAATGGTGTAGCTGAGAGGCGTAATCAGAACCTTGTTAGACATGGTTCGTTCTATGATGAGTCGTGCCTCGCTTCCTATTCACTTCTGGGGGTATGCCTTAGAGACAGCCACCCACATCCTCAATCTTGTCCCTACAAAGAAGGTTGCCAAAACACCTCACGAAATGTGGACAGGGAAAGTTCCCTCGTTAGCACATATTAAAGTCTGGGGTTGTGAAGCTTTCGTAAGACGAGAGACTCACGACAAGCTAGCAGCTAGAAGTGAGAAATGTGTTTTCATTGGTTACCCAAAGCAGTCTTTTGGATATTTGTTCTACAGACCTAGTGAAAACGTGGTGTTTGTAGCTCGAAGAGGAGTCTTTCTGGAAAGAGAGCTCATATTCAAAGAGGACAGTGGGAGTACCATTGACCTTGAAGAGATTCAAGAGTCAGCCAATGAAGGAACCTTAGATGACACTAGCACTCAACCAGAGGAAACAGTCCCTGTTGAACCGGTTGATAAATCATTACCGCTTCGAAGATCCACTAGGGTGAGTGTGCCACCTGAGTTGTATGGTTTTCATATTACTTCAGATGGTGACACATTCATAAGTGAAGAACACTGGTAAACTTAGATGAACCAGTCACTTATAAGGAAGCAATGGCAGGCCCAGAGGCTTCCAAGTGGAAAGAAGCAATGGACAGCGAGATTAAGTCCATGTATGACAACCAAGTTTGGAATTTGGTTGATAGTGCACCAGGTCGGAAGACAGTTGGGTGCAAATGGATCTTCAAGAAGAAGACAGACATGGATGGGAATGTGCATACGTTCAAGGCTCGACTGGTTGCAAAAGGTTTCACTCAAACCCCAGGGGTTGACTATGATGAGACTTTTTCGCCGGCGGATAAGATTAAATCTATTAGGATATTGCTCGCCATAGCTGCCTTTCATGACTATGAAATCTGGCAGATGGATGTCAAGACTGCCTTCCTTAATGGGAAGTTGGCTGAGGATGTTTACATGAGTCAGCCAGAGGGTTTTGTTGATGCAAAGTTTCCCAATATGGTATGCAAGCTTGAGAAATCCATTTATGGATTGAAACAAGCATCTCGCAGCTGGAATCTTTGCTTCCATGAGAAAGTCAAAGAGTTTGGTTTCTCTAGAAGTGAAGATGAGTTTTGTGTGTATATCAAGGCTAGTGGGAGTATAGTAACTTTTCTGGTGTTATATGTCGATGACATATTACTCATTGGTAACGACGTTCCAACCTTGAATGAAGTTAAGTCTTGGCTTGGAAAGTGTTTTGCCATGAAAGACCTAGGAGAAGCCGCCTATATTCTTGGGATTAGAATATTGAGAGATAGAAAGAAGAGACTAATTGGACTTAGTCAGAGCACATACTTGGATAAGGTACTAAAGAGGTTTAGTATGGAAAATTCCAAGAAGGGAGAGCTACCTATCCAGAGCAATACCAAATTGAGTAAGACTCAATGCCCGAGTACAGATGAGGAAATAGATGACATGAGTCGTGTACCTTATGCTTCCGCTGTCGGATCGATCATGTACGCTATGACATGTACTCGTCCTGATGTGGCATTTGCTTTGAGCATGGTCAGTCTATCAGGGAAACCCAGGTAGAGCTCATTGGATAGCCGTGAAGAATATACTCAAGTATTTGCGAAGAACGAAGGACTGGGTCCTTGTACTTGGCGGCAATGATACTTTGAGAGTAGATGGTTACAGTGATGCCAGCTTTCAGACGGATAGAGATAACTTCCGTTCTCAGTCAGGCTGGGTATTCTTATTAAATGGAGGAGCAGTTACTTGGAAGAGTTCCAAGCAAGATACGGTGGCTGATTCTACTTGTGAATCAGAGTACATAGCAGCAAGTGAAGCGTCGAAAGAAGCAGCTTGGTTGAGGAACTTCATCGGGGATCTCGGAGTTGTTCCAACCATCCAGGAGCCTATGGAACTGTTCTGCGATAATGAAGGAGCGGTTGCCTTGACAAAGGAACCGAGAGATCATGGTAAAACCAGACATATCGACAGAAAGTACCATTTCATCAGACATAGAGTAGAAGAAGGCCATCTTATAGTGAAGAGGGTGTCATCTGAAGATAACCCAGCAGATCCCCTCACAAAGGGTCTGAGTAGGGCTAAGCATATTCAGCATGCTCGGAGCATAGGACTGAGAGATGATATTAGTTTTAGTAGTTAGATTAGTTTTGTTCTGAAACTTGTAACAAAGTAAATGTAATTGACTTTTGGTGATTAAATAATAAAGTATTATTTATAAGTTTGGGTTCTACCTTTTGTCAATTGTTTATTATTGTGTTTCATTTTTGCATGTTTTACTTCCCGAATAATAAGATTATTCAAACTCCACAGTCGCTCGTACTTTTGGAAGTAAGTAGTGAATCAAGACTGTCATGAACTGGATTGTAGATTGTCTAAGGATAGACATGGCAATAGATTTTGCTGCAACGTTCATGAGTACTCAGAAATTGAGATTTGAGTATTGGATAAACCCTTGCTCAGAGTATTACTTCATGGAATTCATCACGAGTAGTACTGAGACGATAATATCTTATAATCTTGAAACAGAGATATATGAGTTGTAATTTGCAAGTCGGTTATGCATTGGTAATACGAAAACGCATCAGTAACTTGGTGTTATAAAACGTATTATCATGTATGGTCTGATGAGTAAAAGATACAAGCATATGAGTCAATGTTTATTCGTTCTTTTTTCCTTAATGGGAAAAAGCGATATCTGTGGGCCCCTCGATGATTTGGTGTTGACTTATGTGCTGGGCCCAGCCAGGACTAAATTGATGTGTTCAATTAGAAGTCCTACATCATCACTAATCAGGAATCGGGAAACATAGATTCTGGACAAAGAGGTTGATTGCA